GTGGACAGTGACCTCCAGGTGGATGGTCCCCTCCAGGTGGACGGTCCCCTCCAGGTGGACAGTCCCCTCCAGGTGGACAGTGACCTCCACGTGGACAGTGACCTCCAGGTGGATGGTCCCCTCCAGGTGGACGGTCCCCTCCAGGTGGACAGTCCCCTCCAGGTGGACAGTGACCTCCACGTGGACAGTGACCTCCAGGTGGATGGTCCCCTCCAGGTGGACAGTCCCCTCCAGATGGACAGTCCCCTCCAGGTGGACAGTCCCCTCCAGGTGGACAGTGACCTCCACGTGGACAGTGACCTCCAGGTGGACGGTCCCCTCCAGGTGGACAGTCCCCTCCAGGTGGACAGTCCCCTCCAGGTGGACAGTCCCCTCCAGATGGACAGTGACTTCCAGGTGGATGGTCCCCTCCAGTGCCCAGGCAGGAGTCAGATGGGGGCTGACCCATGGACTGAAGAGTCTCACCAAGGACTCCCCTCGGGGGTTTCTGTCATCCGCCTAGGCCACATGGAGGGAAGCTCTCGGCCTGGCATCCACCGCTGTCATGCTACTGCCCTTACAGCCTTTTTCTGGGAATTCAGCACTTCCTGACGGCCGTGGGAGCCGCTGGGGCCTGATTACCTGACACCCAGGGGCCACAGTGCCAACCTTGATGGTGGTCTGTGCACACGGGGTGGCCTGTCCCCTGCACAGAGGCGGTGAGCGTCTGCTCCTGCAGGGGGCCCTGGGGAAGGATGGGGCGCTGAGCTCCCGCTCTGGAGCCCTGGCACCTGCAGGTCGGCACGCTTGCCTGGGAACCCCCACCCAGGCTGTCCACCCCATCAGAGGTCAGATTCGGACACCTGCGCACTGGCCCCTGCAGAAAAGCTGCTGACACACGTGTGGAGACCACGCCAAGGGGCAGAGCCGCTTCCTTAAGCCTGTGGAGAGGCATGGAGACAGTGGGGGCTCAGGAAAATCCGACCATGTTCCACCTCTGAGCGCCTGTGGAGGAGCGATGCCGGCGGCGAGCCATGAAATGGACTCCGTCTTCGTGCCTCACTGGGCCACTCAAGCGCGCCCTGTGCCAAGACCCTGGCGATGAGCAGCCTGCCGCTCCCGGGCCCCGTGGCCAGCCCCCCAAGCTCCTCGGCCCCACTGGGCAGCCCATTCCCTCCCCAAAACCTGGGAACTGTGTCTATGCACCAGCCCCGATGGGGATTCCCGGATGCTGGTGTCCTCGCAGCATCTGAGGCCCCGCCGGTTAGCCATGTGGACAGCCTCGGGACGGCGCAGGCCTGGTTGGGTCCGGAGAACCACGGTCTGCAGAGAGGACGTGTGTGAGAAACTGTTGATTGCCTTGTGGTGACAGGCCTCAGGCACCCCCGTCGGAGGGAGCCCGCAGATGAGCTCTGCAGTGGATGCCCCCCGACCTCCTGACCACGTTCCCACCAGTGAGCAGGACCGTGAGTCGTTCGCTGATTCATTTGCAAACATGCATCGGGACCCGGCCCACGTTTGGGAATGAAGCCACGCGAGGCCTGGCTGGGCTGCCCAGCTCTCCGGCAGGCGAGGAGGGACAGAGCGCCTTGTGTGCATTCTAGAGAACAGAGCTGGGGCCCAGGTGAGGGAATGGGGGGCCGGCCAGCCCTCAGGGTGACGCTCTCCCTGCTCTCCCCCGACGATTCTGGAGCACAGGCGTGTGATCAGCAGACGCCAGTGGAGTGTCAGTCACTATGACGGAAGCCACGCCTGGCTCACCCAGCAGGCCCGGATATGCCCACTACGTGCTGGCCTGGGGCAGGCCCAAGGAGACACAGCTGAGACACGGGGTGTCCGAAGATGGGATAGTTCGCTTCAATGTGTCGACAGGACTCTGCGGGGCCCACATTGGGTCAGACGTCACTCTGGGGCATGCGTGCAGGTGCCCTCCCCATTCTGGGGCTCATCCACTCCCCTGGGGGCCTAGGGACAAGGGCAGAGGAGGGAGGGATTCTCTGTGCGCCTACCCAGGCTGCGACATCGGTGCCCAGCCCCTGGACTCAGCAATCCTGGCTCCGACTTGCCCCCTTCGGGTACAGGACGTCTCAGCCTCCACGTGTCCGGAACCAATTCACCCGAGCCAACGTGCTTTTCCCCCCGTGCGCAGCCAGGCCTGCCCCACCCTGACAAGGGACAGCTCGCTTCCGCCTTTGCGCCTGAACACGGGGCACCCTGGACCACCTCCCCCGTCCCGGTGTGGCTCAGACCCAGGCTAAGAAGACGCCCAGCACGCGGCCGGAAGCGCTGGTCGGTGGGAGGACAGCCGGTTGCTATGGCAACAAGATGACCGGGAGTCTGATTGCAGTCCTAAGTGACATCACGAGTGCAGACAGCTGGCCTCCGGTGGTCCCACACGACAACATGCGTCAGCGTCCACGCAGGCCCGGGCTTGGCGGTGTGATGGCCCGTGGCTGCCTCCTTCCCAGAGTGGCGGCAGCCCTGTCCGGAAGCCAGGGCGGGGTCCCTAGGACCTCCCCCTGTGTCCATCCTGAAGCAGGCGCTGGGAGGCGGGATCCTGCGGCTTCCACCTTCCCGCAGCCCCCACGTGGGCACGCGCGGTCTGGGTCCCGGCGAGGCTGGCAGCCAGCCCCTCCCGCTCTCCTGACCCCCAGCCTCCTCCGGGGACTCATTGCTGTTCATCTGTGACGACAGCCACGCTGTTGTCCCCTGAACAGAGAGACTCACTATACTTCAGTCAAGGGCCAGGCAGACGTGGCCCCTTTCTCCCTCTGGTTCGCCGGCAGAGAGCGCTCACCCCCAGGTCCCTGGCCAGGCCGAGGAGAAGGTTGGACTTGCCCGTGTGTGCAGGGAGCCCACCCAAAACCACAGACAGCTCTGGGGTCCCACTCCACCCGTCCCATTCTCATCGATCCTTCTAGAGCTTTCCACGAAGTGAAAATGGAATCTGGATTTGATAAATCATTGCGAAACAGCGTTAGCTTTAGTCAGAGTCTCCGTATTCCTTACACATCTGTGCCCTTTCCAGTGACAGCCATAATTTACTGTCACCGTGAAATGTCCGTGAAATGTCAGCTTCCTGCTTCCCAGGTGAGCAGGCAGAGACCGAGCGGGGGTGCATACTCCGCTAGGGCAGTGCGTGCGGCCGAGGACCAGCCGGAGCAGCTGCCGAGAGCCACGAGCGACTTGGCCTTGTGGGGAGTGGATTTCAGCATCTGACCCTGAATGTCATACTCACCCCCCAAGGCCGTCCTGCTGGGGAGACCCTTGCTGCAGGACCACCGCGCCCTCCTCCTGGGGGCACCTGCCCTCCTGGAGCCCTCAGGGTCCCACGTCCTGGCCACGCTGACCCTGGATGCGTGTACACAGGCCCGTGTGCTCCCAGCCCCGTCCCTCCTCAGGACAGCAGAGCCAACCCGTGCCAGAGCCTCAGCAGCCCACGTACCTCCCCTGTCTTCACTGGGGACCCCACGTGCCCTCCTGCTGGTCCCTCCCTGTCACTACTGAGTTGGCCCCTGAGGAAGCCCAGGGAGCGGGAGGGTGCAGACCCAGAGCTTGGGGAGCACACGGTCCCCAGGGCAGCGCGCCGGGCTCGCGGCCCCGGGCGGCACAGCTGAGCAGCCCCTCCCGGCAGGCGGGCGTCCTGCTGCACTACGCCACACTGGCCAGCATGCTGTGGATCGGGGTGGCCGCTGGGAGCATCTACGAGCAGGTGACCAGGAAAGCGCCCCCGTGCCCGGCCGCAGACCAGCCGCCGTACCCCAAGCAGCCCCTGCTCAGGTACCCGAGCGCACGCGCACCCTGCCGCCTCCACCACCGGCCGTCAAGGGCCCCAGCTCTGGGCTCCCTCCTGGGGGTCCCAGCAGACGGGCTCACAGGGAAGCTTGGGTTCCAAGGACAAGCCGGTCTGCACCGGTGGCCAGGGGCGGAGTGGGGCACTGGGGGCCGGGTGGGGTGTCTGGGAGGGGATGTCGGGGTGCTGGGGTCTGGAGCCAGAGTCGGTGGGTCTGGGGGCCGTGGGTGTGTCTCTGTGCTACTGAGCTCCACGCCACGAGGGGCTGTGGTGGAGAGCTCAGGGGGGTGGGTCCGTGCTCCGGTCTTAGCTCCAGCCCGTCCTGGGCTTCCGTAGGCTGAGGCACTGGCTCCTTAGCTGGGAGAAACTGAGGCTTGGTTACCAATCCTGAGGTGGCCACGTGACTCGGCCTTTCAAGGCTGGGTGGCAGGTGGCTCTGAAGCCTAGCCTCAGTCGGGCTGGGAGGGTTCGGGACGGGCAGGTGGTCCCCGTGAGGGGACAGCTGATGCCTCTGGTGCTGGGCTGTGGCCTGGGCCCAGGGGCACGGACGCTCAGCCCCTTGGACTGAACTCTGTCCGGGTCTAAACTGGGAGGGCCTCCAGGAAATACCTCAGTGCCCAAAACACATCCAAGGGACTCATCTTGAGGCAGATAAAACAATGCCGTATGCTGTTTAATAAATACGGTGACCTCGTTAGGTTTTCTGACACGGGGTTTCCGGAGCTCGCACACCCGTTGCCACACAGCTAGCGGGGCCCGTGGCACTCTGCCGCCAACGCCGGCCGGGGAGACAGGGTTTCCGTACCTTGTTCCTCCTTCCAGGGAGACCCCTGCTCCTTGGGGTCTAAGAATCACTCTCAGAATGAACGTCCTGGTCTGTCGTCGATTGAAAAGCTGCCTGGCTTTTTGAAGAAAACCATGGCAGCCTCAGAATATTCTGGAGCCTTTCTCTCTGATGGTGCACATAATGAACCAGACTCCCAGGTGCTTCCAGGAGCAGTGGGCCCGGGGCATCAGTGGGCATGTGCCCCGTGGGCTGTGGGCTCAGGGGGCCTAGGACAAGAGGGGCATGGGCTCAGTGACTGTGCTCTAAGCTGGCGTGTCACACCTGCAGGTCACTCTGGGACACTTGCTGTTACTGCTGTGCTATCTGGAAACCACTGTCACCTCTTCCTCCATGTCCCCTTCTTTGGTACAAATGCTCGACAGTGGGGGCAGGGGTGCGGGGGGCATGTGATGTGATTCCGGCAGCTCCCTAGGTGATGACCCCTCTTGCAGGATGAGACTCGGAAGGGTTGGACGCTGGCTCTGGGCTCTGCAGAGGGCCTGTACTCCTCCACGGCCTTCTGTGGCCAGGCCTGGCCTGGGGGTGGTCATGGGGACCCCAAAGGTTGGGGGCCAGAGTCTTTCTTCCCAGACACCTCCCCAGCCAGAGGCACCCTTACCTGTGATGGCTCTTCTGACTGGCCCCCAGGGACCATCCTTTTATCTGCGTCCCTGATCCCATTCCCACGGTGGCAGGTAGCCTGAGCGCAACCTCTAGGCCTGTAGCTCCTGAGTCCCCCGGGGAGGGAAGTGACCCCAGGACTCGTGCTGTCCTGGCCTCTCGATATGCTGGGCAGAGCTGCACGGCAGGTGTCGCTGACCTGCGGCGGACCCGGGGTATGTGTGCCGTCTTCCGATGAGCAATAAAAAGGAAGCCGTTAGCGTTAGGACCTCCTGTGTGAGCTCAGAGCACACAGCTTTTTGAGAAACAGGTCAGCGGTCTCACTTCTCACGTTGACCTCGCTGCCAGGTGGCCGCAGAGATGCGGGAAGGGGTCTGCCACGGGGGAGGGGGCCTGTGGGGCCGGGGCCCTGCGTTCCCCGCTCCCACACCAGGGTCAGCGTGCTCGCTACACAGGCCCCCTCTGTGCTGGGGGGAAACCAAGCCCATTCAGAGATTCCCATTCACATTCACGTAACACTTTGCAGGATTCTGGATTGGAAGAGCATTTCGGGCCTGACTGGCCCCCACCCCCGGCCTGAGCCCTGGGGGCGATCTTGGCTCGGCGGCGGCGGCGGCGTGGGGTGGGGGTGGGCGCTGCCAGGCCCAGACCCCTGGTCTGAGGTCAGACGTGTTGTCTTCGAGTCAGGCTGGCTCAGGGAGCAGAGGGGCAGAGGATTTCAGCTTCAGAACTGTTTCCTCTATCCAGGGTCCCTGGCGATTCCGTATGGACATTAGGATCTGTTTCTCCATTTCTGTAAAACTGGTCACTGCGGTGTCGGTGGAACCCACCCGGACCCGACAGAGCCCTGGGAGCGGAGAGGTCGACATGAGGACTTTACAGCTTCTGATCCATAAACACGGCACGGCTGTCTGTGTCCTCGGGTCCACGAGACCTCTGCTGGGGACACTGGCAGCCGTCAGCACGCACGTCCCACACTGCCTGGGTTAGACCTCTTTCCTCAGGATCGCTACCGGCACGTCTTCTCCGTCTCCGGGTCGGTCATCACTTACGTGCAGAGGCACCACTGAACTTTGTGTGTTGGTCTTGTGTCCCGAAGACTGGCGGGATTTGTTCCCAGAGCTGGGAGCTTTCCTGTGGATGCCTTAGGATCGTGTGTGCACACGCGTGTGGTCCCGTCATCAGCACACAGGGACAGACAGCTTTTAGTTTTAACTCTTCTGCCTAATCACTCTGGCTGGGACCTCCCGCACAACAGGACCCTCTCTCTCCCTCCCTCTCTCCCTCCCTCTCTCCCTCTCTCCCCCCTTTCCCAGTCTCTCCCTCTCTCTCACCTTCTCTCTCTAAGTCAGTCTGGCCGGCAGTTACAACCGGTTTTGTGCACAGTTTTAAAGAGCCCGCGTGGGGTTCGTCCATTCCCTGTGTGGTTTTGCTCTTCCGTGTCTACGACTCCTGCCGCAGGCCCTGCCGCTCCCGTCCGCCTGTAGCTGGAGTCCGTTCTGCGTGTCTTCTGTCTAGTTCCCCACGGCGTGAAGCTAGACTAGTACGAGGTCTTTCCATCTTCATTGTACGCAGTCACAGCTACGATTTCTCTCGGGGCGTGATTCGGGCATGTTTTATCATTCATTTTAGTATTTTCTGATTTTCCTGTGATTGTTGTCTTTGGCCCGCTGGCTCTTCAATTTCCCTGGACAATTAGGTTTCGGGGCGGCGGGGGGCTCTCGAGAACTGTGCCAGCTTCAGTGTCAGGCTGAGGGGAGGAAACTCCAGCTCCACCAAGGAGGCCCGTGGCTTGGAGGGGGACGTCCCTGTTCTAGGGACGTGTAGCGCGATCCACAGCCTTGGGGGGTGGGGCTCGGGGACAGACTCAGCTGGGGATGCGGATCTCGGCCCGGGTGCTCTGCCTTTCTCAAGCAGGAGGGCGTGGTCCTCAGGCAGGGCCAGTGCTGGGAAGTGCAGGATGCATTTTGGAAGGCGATGACCTCGGGTGGAGGGCATGAGAGGGGTCAGCCCAAGAGAGGAGCTGCTCTGTGGGGGCAGGACCGGGTGACAGACACAGGAGGACTGCCAGCCCCAGCCCCCCGCCACCAGGGCCTCTCTGATGCAAGGACACTGCACCTTGCCCATCACGCGGGCTCTCTTTCAAGACACCCCAAGGGTCTCTGCTGCCAGAAGCCGCCGTATCCCACAATGTCCTTGCGCTCCCGGATCCAGACTTTCACATCCCGTGGTGGCTGATGCCTCCCCCTGGGGGTCCTGACAGTGCCCACCGTGCGTCCACATGGGAGGAATCCCAACCCCTCATTCCCCATGTGTCCACCAGGAACAAACCCCAAACCCATGTCCCCATTTCAGCATCCCATCACCCGTGTCAGAAAGCCAGCACGGCTCCAGATTATTCTCGTCCCCTAGCCTGAATCAGGGAGCCCACAGGCCCCGACTCTGCCCCCAACCCTGCACCTCCCCATCCTCCACAGGCCTCGTTCTTGGTGGCTGTGGGTCCTGCCACCACCCTGCAGAATTTCCGTTCCTCCAGAGGGGGAAGCCCGGCTGTGCGTTCCCCTTCCCAAAGCACGCAGGGCTGCCCACTGCTCCCCGGCTTGGCCCCGGCCTTCAGCTGGTGTCCCCAGCATGCCAGCCGGAGGGCCCACGGCCAGATGCCCAGACCCCCCTGCCCTCCTCCCCAGGTCCAAAGAAAGGGCTGTGTTCTCAGATTCCAAAACACAGCGCCTGCAGGGATTCAATAAATATTTTTTAAATTGGCCTTAAATACTCCATTTTAGTCACAGGACTGAGTCTGGAAGAACCCAGCCTTGGGTGGGTAAGCTCTCCCTTCTGGCCGGAGGGCAGGTCCCAGAAGCACAGCTTTGGGGTCGGTCGGAAGCTGCGTTCCGTGGGGGGAGCCGAGAACGAGGCTTCCAAGGGCAAGTTCATTTTACTCACAGAGAGGGGGAGGCTGTGTGCCCCGCAGGCCCATGATGGCACAACCGGGTGGCTCGCCCCAGCGGGGCGAGGTGGGGACAGATGCCCTCTTGCAGGCCCAGCTGGGGTCCAGCATCAGCCCTGGCACTTTCATGGCGTGGCCAGAAAGCAGGCGGGCCAGGCCGGCATGGACGAGGCTCAGGTCCGAGGTCTGGGTTTGCCACCCAGGGTCTCCGCTCCTTTGGATGTGATGTGTCCTCAGGACGGTGAGGACGTTGATGAAGCAGCAGAGGTGAGCTCCGGGTGGGGGGTCCACACAGGTCCTCCACCAGCAGCAGAACACACATGGGGTTTCTGCCCCGGAAGCCGGCTTGCCACTCTGTCCGGGTTTCCTCGGGGCCGGCCGCTTAGCCACCCCCGATGCTGACCCTGCAGGTCCTGGAGGAGGCGGACGCTCCTGGGCCCCGGCCCAGCACAAAGGGCGGCCTACGCAGCAGTTGCGGAGGAAACCCACGGAGAGCGGGCCAGGCCGCCCAGGGCAGCCCGCGGCCCCCTGCAAGCCTGCCGCCTCCCTGCTCGTTCCAAGCACGTGGCTGGAGAAGAAAGGCAAGTTGAGGG